TCCATCCAGTCGAATATGTCGAAAACCAAGCACGGGAGAGAAAAATGTTTCAGACAAAAGTTGTAAGGCTTAAAAAAACGCATTCAACAATAGTAGTTATTTGACATAGGATGGCGTCGCCAAGGTCAGAACAAGGTCAACTTTGCTTTTTTAAATAGAAATACATATTTTTTATTACGGCATTTTATTCAACGTAAAAACGCAAATAACTTTTGCTTGAAAAAATTTTTTATACGACCTCTATTTTCTAAGATATTTACGTAAATATCTACAAGATTATTGGTTTCAATAATTTTTTACTTGAATTCTGTCAACTTTAGCGGAAAATATGAAGAGATAAAAATTGTATATTTTGTTCTTATAGAGCTCTGAGAATTTTTTCAGAATTTTGTGTTAACTTTTTAGTACTTCAAGAAAATGTAAGAAAATGAAGTACTAAAAAGTTAATATAAAATTCTGAAAAAATTCTCAGAGCTCTATGAGAACAAAATATGCAATTTTTATCTCTTCATATTTTCCGCTAAAGTTGACAGAATTCAAGTAAAAAATTATTGAAACCAATAATCTTGTAGATATTTACGTAAATATCTTAGAAAATAGAGGTCGTATAAACAATTTTTTCAAGCAAAAGTTATTTGCGTTTTTACGTTGAATAAAATGCCGTAATAAAAAATATGTATTTCTATTTAAAAAAGCAAAGTTAATCTTGTTCTGACCTTGGCGACGCCATCCTATGTCAAATAACTACTATTGTTGAATGCGTTTTTTTAAGCCTTACAACTTTTGTCTGATACATTTTTCTCTCCCGTGCTTGGTTTTCGACATATTCGACTGGATGGATTAAAATAGTCCACCCTGTATATATACAGGGTGAGGCATTTAACTTGAGACATCCAAATATCTCGAGAAATATGCATTCTACGAAAAAAGTGTTCTAAGTCAAATTTGTTTCCTTCGAAGAGGGCAACAAGATGGCGCTATCTGTTTCGTCATAGATGGCACTACTATCAGTGAACACGAGATCAACTTTGTTTTTTTAAGTAGGAACCACTATTATTTATTGAAGATTATGATTCTACGTTAAAAACAAAGTAACTTTTGTCGGAAACATTTTTTTTCTAATTATCGTAGATGACTCTTTAATCGGTTAAAATGAGGTCATGTACGTATAAAGCACGTATAAGACCGTTGCGGGCAAGGATCTCAGGTGAGTTCCCTTGCCTCTCACGAGCGGGGTGCTTGTTTAGCGTGAATCCCCTTGCCTCTCACGATCGGGGTGCTTGTTTAGTGTTCAAAATTGAAGTGAAGTTATGCCATTAGATGTTCAAAATGATGACCTTCAACTGCAATGCATTTATTAACCCGGGTTTTAAATGATTCCTGACAACGTAATAGTGTTTGTGTATCGATATCTCTGCAACCATGTCTAATACATTCAATCATATTTTAGCGAGTTGTTGGCGTTTGTTGGTACACTTTGTCTTTTATGTAGCTACATAAAAAAAATCCGGAGATGTTAAGTCTGGCGATCTAGCAGGCCAATTTATTGGACCACCTCTACCGATCCAGCGAGCATTGTAATCACGATCTAATATTTCCCGTGCTATTATCGAATAATGTGCTGGACAACCGTTATGCTGGAATCACATGTTTCGTCGCTCTTCAATGCTTAGCTCTTCAAGCAATATTGGTAATTCGTCCTGCAAAAAGGTTCGATATTTTTGGCCATTTAAAGTACCTTCAATAAAATAAAGGCCAATTAGTTTGCCACCTATGATTCCGCACCAAACGTTAAACCAAGGACGCTGATATTCGACTTCACGCAACCAATGTTGGTTTATTATACTCCAACAGTGCATATTGTGTCGATTTACCGCACCATGATTCGTGAAGATTGATTCGTCTGAGAATAATATATGACGAAAAAAATCTGGATTTATATAAAATTTTTTCAAGCAAAAGTTGTTTGCGTTTTTACGTTGAGTAAAATGCCGTAATAAAAAATATGTGTTTCTATTTAAAAAAGCAAAGTTGACCTTGTTCTGACCTTGGTGACGCCATCCTATGTCAAATAACTACTATCGTTGAATGTGTTTTTTTAAGCCTTACAACTTTTGTCTGAAACATTTTCCTCTAAAATGCTCCCCTGCCGAGTTATCTTGCCGTTCCGGTACTTTTGCTATACCCTGTATAATACTGTTACATTGGAAACAAATCGACTCTCTTAGGATATGTGTGCGATAAATGTCATAAAGAAATGTATTATAAAATGTATGGACAATTGTAAATATTTTTATACATATAAAATAAGAGTAAGATTTCTTTATGGAATATATACTTTGTGTACCGATGAAATTTGTGCTTTGCAAATTAGACACATTTTAACATTATCTTGCAAGATTTGACTAGCACAATCCTCACAAATATAGAAGTGACCGCACGGTATGAAAAGATGAGTAGATTCTGCATTAATACAAATAGTGCACGTACGATCAGATCTTACTCTTTCTTGGCTATTTTTGCATATATTTTCTAAAGAAAAGCGTTTGAATTCGTGATACGCGACATCATATTGAGCATTGTTCTGATCTGCGTACCAGTATTCAAAGTCATCTTCAAGAATGTTATAAATCGTTTCTGGAAAATATTTCCATTTTTTCATTTAATAATCGCACAAATGTACTCTAAGGAAGGAATAATGTTTAATGTTTACTAAACTAAAATATATATAAATACATACCGTCCTCAAGTTCACTAATTGTGATAAATTTCGAGTGTTGTGTGTATTTTGAGCTTCTTCCAATATGTTTGCCGGTGTAAGGGAAGTAAGATCTGTAGAATTCATATTGATTATATCCAGGTCAGTGGCATTTTCGGAAATGGCTGCTCCTTCTTCTGTATCAATATATGTATGCCTTAAAGTTAGCGAAGATAATCGTTTATCATCTTGTCTCTGATTTAATGTAAATGAATCTTCTACACTGTTTACATTTACGTTATCAATAGAAATTCTCTGAGTTCCACAAATGTCTGAAAAAGTGTGAATTAATAACAGAATAATATAAAGAATATTTGATTTTTGTGATATAAATAATAATGCATACTTTCATTTGAGTTAGAATCGTAACTTTCTGATAGAAATTCAGTACTAATTTCATAATTATCGTTCTGCTGGATTATATCTGTAAAAAAATATCTTTGTTTAAAATATCTAGAAATCCAAATTAAAGAAGAAAATTCAGTACATAATCAAATCTCTTGTAAGAAATACATTAAAATCAACAATATTTGGTTTATTCTATAGTTTTATAAAATATATGATGATAATAATTAGCTTTTAATGAAAAGAAAACTTATTTTTATTAAATAAATTACAATGTTTTGAAATATCATCATATAAAAAATATAACTATATGTCAAAAACATGTAATTTCTTTAATTTTCTTGATTTGACCGTTAGCTTGATCAAATTTTTTGAGCACCAAAATTTATATTTTATGTATATTTTTGTTGTAAATATATTTCTCTAAGTTCTGGAATATAATACCTTCATCAATCATGTCTGAATTATACAAATCAGTTTCATAAAAGCGACTAAATGATTTTAGAAATTCAGGAAGCGGTAATCTGTAAAAAAAAATTGTCTATATATTAACAGTATTATATAATTGTATTATATAATTGTTTATAAATCATTTTTCACACAGGTTTAAGTTTATGCTATAACTAGTAACATTACCTATTTTCTAAGAAATCCTTCTGTTTATTCAGTATCATTTTATTTTTTTCTCTATTGGCTCGAGTTTGAAGTCTACGTGCTTGATAATTATTTCGTAAGCGACAAAGATCAATTTCCTGATCAATAAGTACTTTTTTCAAATTTTCTGCAATATAAAAAAAAATAAAATGCGTAATATATATACAGGGTGACCCATTTTAACTTAGGCAGCCAAATAACTCGAAAAATAAGCACACTACGAAAAAATGTTTAGAATCAAAATTTCGTCATTTCGAGGGGGACGTACAACGACGTTAAAATTAGCCCTCCCACCCCTCCCGCTGGGCGGTGAGGGGGGGCAAGTTTGAAATCTTAAATGGGAACCCCTATTTTTTATTGCATATTCGGAATCTTTGGCTAAAAACACATACAATTTGTCT